GAGAGAGAGAGAGAGAGAGAGAGAGAGAGAGAGAGCCACAGGGTATCAGCGAGTGTTGCTGTGCGCGACGGCGTAGCCGTGGCGGGTTCCACTTGTTTTAGTAAATTTGATATTCGTCACGACTTCCATCACATTTTGGTTAAGGAGGAAGATCGACCGAAAACGGCTTTTGTGTTGTTTGAAGGCACGTGGCAGTGGGTCCGGTGTCCGATGGGTATTTGCAACGCGCCTGCCACGTTTCAGCGGGCGATGAACATGACGTTTCAGAACTTCGTCAACAAGACGCGGCTCACTCAGGGGATGATTAACTTCTGCGTCATCGTATACATGGATGACATCCTCATCTACTCGGAGACCTATCACGGGCATGCACAGCACATCGAGTGGACGCTAGGAGCTCTGAGAGACGTTCGGTTCAAGATTGCGCTCGAAAAGAGCAGTTTTTTCCTCTCGGAAATCTCGTTCTTGGGTTACGTGGTGACACGTGGAGGGCTGCGACCAGATTCAAGGAAAGTCGTGGCGGTGAAAGATGCTTCTGTCCCCACGTCAGTGACGCAGGTTCGAGCTTTTCTGGGACTGACATCGTACTACTGACGTTTTATTAAAAGCTTCGCTGCGATTGCGCGACCGCTGACGAACCTGCTACGAAACGACCAGCCCCTTAGTTGGAACGCAGAGTGTGAACAGGCCTTCGCCACCCTCGAAGGCGCTCTGGCAACGGCACCTATTTTGATCCGGCCGGACCCCACGAAGCAGTTCATTCTCATAACGGACTGGCAGCCAAAGGCGATTTCCACTATTCTAGCGCAGAAGAGGAACGGCAACCGAGAGCACGTCATCGAGTACGCGTCTCGTACGGTGCCAAACGAACGAAGGAACTATTCAGCCCCGCAGGGTGAATGCTATGCTGTACTCTGGGGAATTCAGCACTTCCATCCGTACTTGTACGGGCAGAAGTTCCTCCTTGTAACCGATCACGAGCCATTATTGGCTCTCAAGAAGCTCACCAATTACACGGGCATGATTGGACGGTGGGCGGTGTGCCTACAGGAATACGATTTCGACATTATCCACCGAAAGACAAAGAGGGACGGTAACGTGGACGGGTTGGCACGTCTGCATCGCCCCGCGAAGGTGCCAAACGGCGAAGAAATCATTCCGTGGAAGGAACCGGAGTCGGCAAACGGACCCAAGTACGGACAATTGGCAGTCCTTCCACGTGGGAAGAAGCAAGTGATTGACAATGGGTGACAGAGGTAATCCTACAACTCCTCTCTCTCCCCTCTCCTCTTCATCTTTTTTCTCCCTACCCGACAAATTTTGTTATTTTTGCGAAGCGATCTCACGTGTCTACTCGATCTCAATGCGTCCTAGTGGGGAAGGGTATGCGGAATGGGTAGATTGTCGACAGTGTGTCGCACGAGCCCATGGCTCGTGCATCCAGTACAAAAATGGCGATAAGCCTTGGTTGTGTCCCTTGTGTCGGACAGATAAGATCCCGACTGAAGCTTAATTTCTTGATGCCACGTCTGAAGGGTTGGAAAAGACCCGGAAGTTTAGAAGGGCCGAGGTGTGGACGGACATCGCTCTAATTGCCACCTTGGTAGGAAACCCCCTCCAGGACTTCACTAAGGAAGACCGGAGGAGGGCCAATGAAAGGGCTTGGGATTATCGTTGGAACGAAGGCCGGTTAGAAAAACGGAAGACGAATGGTAGCGGGATTTGGATGGTAGTGCCGCACCCGTTCATGAGGTATGACTGGGTTAAGACGGCGCATGAGGAAATTGCAGCCCATTTTGCCGTACGGATCACGGAAGCGGCAATCGATAAGAATGAATGGTATTGGTCCAATATTCGCGTTGATGTGAAATTCATCGTCGCGAATTGTCAGGTCTGCGCTGCTGACAAGGCGCCGATCCAGCCGCCGAGATCGATAGTACCGACGGTAGTCAAACGGCTGTTTCAGAGGGTTAGCATGGATACTACCGATATTGTGGTGCCCCCTGGACCTAATAGCTGCAAGTATTCAATCCTACTAGTATTCGTAGATCATTTTTGAAATGGATCGAGGCATATCCGTGTCGTACGCGACAAGCAGCTGAAATCGCGCGATACGTCAACCGGTTTCTAGGGATGCACCAGGACACAGAGGAAATTCTGACCTACAATGGGGTAAAATTCATAGGGGAAGTTTTAAGGAATCTGGTCGTACATGGCGTCGCTATTCGGAATACTGCACCCCACATGTCACAATCTAACGGCCTGGTCGAAAACGCAAATCGGGTAATAAAGACAACACTGCGACGAAACATCGAGGCATGGGATCCGAGGCCCTGGCCCGATATCGTAGATCACATCCTAGCGGTCCATCGGGGAACTCCTCACGAATCGACGGGCCTTAGCCCCTTCCAATTACGAACCAATAGCGTAGCTTGTGTCTTGATACCGAGTCTCCCCAATGAATCTTCATTGAACCGGCGGCCCACAAGAGCCACGGTTTGGGACAAGGCCAAACGACACATGGAGCTGATGGAATGGTCCCTTCCCCGACTAGCCCGAAAGCGCCAGAAAATGACTGAGTTGGCCCACGGCCGACAGGTCCGTAGCTACGAGGCCCGAAATGGGAACGCAGGACCACAACCCCAGTATAAATTAGGGGACCTGGTGCAGGTGAGGAAATGTGCTCGCCAAGGGAAGATAGCGCCACAATTCTTCGGGCGATTTCGTGTGATCGAACTCGGCCCGAACGGAGTGAACACCGTGCGCCTCGTGTCGAAGGTCTCGAGAAGCCGATCGGCTCAACCGATCGTCCGCCACGTGTCCTATCTACGTCCTCTCCCTTCCTCTCCATCTCCAGTTGTGTCCGCTTCCTCCTTCGCTACGGAAGAGGAAGACGACTCCTTATTGCTCTCATCCCCTCCTGCTTCTCCTACTCCGTCCTCATCGCCGTCACCGCGAGGGGAATCGTGAGTTCCTGTATGATCTGTTGTCGATTAGCCGGGATGCACCGATCCGAATAGAAATCCGAGAAGGTCTCCTTCCACCTCCCTTCTCCACGCTTGGATAATTAACAGCTCCACGTATGCGACCGAACACACGGAAAGATCGACGAAATGTTCGCACCACCGTTCCCACTATCTTCGATCGAGAAGCGGAACGGGAAGTGGTTCCACACGAAAGGAGAGATGGGGGCAAAGGTCAGACTGCCAGAAGTTATGGAAGAGAGAGGGGAGAGCGAAGGTAGAGAGTCGGGATCGGTTCATTGGGGACGCTGGAAAGGGACGAGCTCAGGAAGCACCACCGCGGGCTCGTGTCGAGACGTTCGGAGTCCTCCGACGTCGATGCCGTCCACGGGGACAAGATTATCGTCGCGGCGCGTAAGCCACTGATTCCATTCTGCTGCCAGCTGCTGTCCCCACTCCCTTAGCGACGTCCGGATGGGTGTGTGTCGCAGAGGGCTGATCGTGCTAATGTCACCGCTGAAGATGACGACGGTGGGTACGTGGCTAACTCCTGGTGCTGACAGCCATGGAACCGTCGTCGCCTCTGCCAGTACGATCGCTTGATGATGGCCGGTGAATCGGAACTCTGCCACTGCGTATACCCCGGTAGTGCTGAAGAACTGCGCGAGCCGTAGGAGGTCCAGATTGAATCGCGAATGATGAACCTGCTGAATTGCCGAGATGTCGCCACGTGGCGCCAGCATGTGATCGCCGAGAGCCCGCTCAGTGAGCCTCGAGGAGTTCGCGGGCAACAACAACCCGCCATCACAACAACCATACCTGGATCCCAGGGGATAATCGGCCTCGCTTTCTTTCAGCCTCGAACGACCTCCGAAGACGAAGCGATAGCACTAGAGGAAGAGGAGGAAGAGGACGAGGAGGGAAGCGAAGGAGAAGACGAAACCCCGGAAGAGGGAAGTTACAACGAGCATAACGAGGGAGAACAGAGCGACGACGAGGAAGAAGAAGGCGACAAGGAAAAAGAAAATGAGGTGGAAGAAGAGGAATATGATTGGGAAACCCTAGGAGAAGAGGCGGAAGGCGCGGAGGATGCCGAGGCGGTGCGAAAGAGAGAAGAAATCGCCGCCAGCAAGCAGCAGCTGGAATACGCAAGCGAGGCAGATCTGCCAATCTCGAACGATCCAGGTAAGGATCCGGAGCCGCCTAAGCCAGAGGAGGGGGACCTTGCTGCTGAGACTTCGAGCGCACTGGTCAGGCGACGACGAAGCCGATCCCCCTCCCCCTCCACCTCAGCCCGTCCACCAGTTCGAGCTCGTACCGATGCGGGGCATCGGGCTTCGTCCCCGGTCCTTATCCCGTTGTCCCCTTGACCACCTAACCCTCCGCCAAATCACTACCCGCACCACCTTCCCCAGCAATCCCTTCCCAATTGACACCTTCCGCTTCTTCTACGCCACCCGTCTTATTGTCACGGTTCATCCCCATCCTTCTACCCGGTGCGTCGTCCATGCCTTCTGTCTCCACGCCCTTCTCTTCAGTGCCGCGTGGCGAGGCCACAACATGGTTGAAGTTTATTGCATGATCACGGGGACTATCCCCGTGTGCGAAAACCACGATCACTTCCGCACGGCGCTTCTCCGAACTTTCACCACCCTTTACCCCGACTATCTCGCCTCCCTCCCTCATAGTGGTAATCGATTCCCTCGCTTCCACCGGATCGTTCGATATCAGGAGCTTTCGGAGACAGTCGCGGGGTTGGAATGCTTTCTACCCCCATTCCCGACTAACCCACCCCCTCGCCATGCCCCCATGTATCGTCTTCCCTTTCCCCTTCCCTTAGGATATTGATGTACGGTTGATTGGCACGTGCCACGGCGACGGCATGCACGATCCCCTCCTCGGACTGAAGAGAGCCCATCCTGAGGAAAACTATACGATAGAGTCACGTGTGCCACCCTGAATGACTTCCACACTCCTCTGCACGGTTGGCGGCAACATAGAAAGCTCCGCGTGTCGATTGATTAGAGAGATCGACACGTGTCACGAATCAAGCAAGCAGGAGCTTGCTTAAGATTGGAACCCCCTGGGCGTCACATATGTGACGAACCAATTTTTGTTCCACGCGATTTTCTGCGCGATGACAATGAGGGGTCCTAAGCTGGGAAGGTTGGGCCAATAACGGAAGATCGAGATCGAAGGGAAATTGCATCAGTGTCCTCGCTTCTTCGTTCTTTTTGTGCCGTTTCTTTTCAGATGGCTGGGTTCAAGGCCGGGCAAGTCCCGAGATGGCCGATTGAGTGGCTGGCAGCCTGGCGCGCCGACAAAGGCGCGATTAATAATGGTTGATGTCACTTCTCTCCTGTTCTGTTGTCGGATTTTAGGCGCGAAGGTCGCGCGGGAATTTTGCTTCGTTCTTTTGAATTTCTTTTTCGAATCTTGTCGAGCCTTTGACGACTCTCGGGACTTCGGATTTTCTTTTCGGAATTTGGGTTTCTTTTTGCATCAGCTAGGAATTTAGGAATTAAGGAATTCGGGATTTCTTTTGCCGCGCATTGTACGCTTCTTTTTGCGGCTACAACAGAGCTTTGATTAGTCGGCGCCCTTAATCTTGCAAGTAACTGTAATTTTTGGGCGGGCGCCATTGTAACTGTATCTTTTTTCTTGAGCTTCGTCTTTCCCGCCCTCTCTTTCCTTTTTGTTGTGCCTAGTTGGCCCCGCGACCTGCATGCTCGGATCGATGCGTGGAGAGTGGCTACGTCCCCCACGCCGCGGTTTGGCCATGCAGAACGTAGGCACTCCCTCTCCTAATCCCCTTTCTAAGTCCTTGCAATTCCGTGTTCTTCGCCCATGCATGCACGTTATAAATTCCGGCTGCGTGATTAGATAGCCCTCTTAACCAACTGTTGGAAGCTCGGGGTAGCGCGATCAGTGAGGGTCGGCTCACGAGTGAAGTAAGAGCTGAGTTGAAGTGGAGTCGGGCGACCCGACGAGCTGGTGCCAAATGCGCGGGGTTGACGTGTGGGGCTACGACGGATTGTAGCGCGCGGGTGAACCTGACGGGTGCAGGAGAACTAAGCGGGGTGACGACTTCGTGGGTTGGTGCGTGATGACGGACTGTCCGCATCGGAGAGAGAGAGAGAGAGGAAGAGGGAGCTGAGGTTGATGGACGTGGTCACGTGGACTTGTGATTTTCTTTGTCTTTTCTCCCCTTTTGCTTGTGTATATAAATTTTGATCTCGGCTCAGGGCGACTCGCCCGTTTTCTTTTGCTTTCGGAATCCTTGTCTCGGTTTCAGCCCACACTAGTTTTTGCGATTGATCTTGATCTCGCTTATTGTGTGTTTTTGTCGAATGAATGGATGAATGAATGTTATATCTGTTGCTTTTCTTTTGTCTGGTCCTTGCCTTTGCTTGTTATTTTGATACACTCATGAGCATAGTAGAAACTTTTGCGTAGTCGTCATTATTGCTTCCACTGCTGTTTATCCTTCTTTTTGGATCCACTGTTGTTGCTGCGGTGCCTGATGTGTAGTAGCACCTTGCATGCTCAGGGTGCGGGATCACGGAGTGATTAGATGATCGGGTAATTGTTTGCCTAGAAACAAGCGAATACGTCGCGGAGTCGCGGGGATGCGTGTCTCTCTCTCTCTCTCTCTCTCTCTCTCTCTCTCTCTCTCTCTCTCTCTCTCTCTCTCTCTCTCTTGTTTTGATAAACGAAACGGGAATGCATCTTCCCGCTATCCCCGGGAAGATGCATTCCCATTTCGGTTTTCGAAACGAGAGAGAGAGAGAGAGAGAGAGAGAGAGAGAGAGAGAGAGAGAGAGAGAGAGGGAGGGAGGGGCGGCAACCTGCACGGAG